TAATATCCATATTAATGCTGCACTCAACAGGCCCACATTGGACTATATTTGTTTGTTCTTCCTTAACTGTTCATGTAGTTGGTTGTAACCACTCTGTAGCTGAGGCTCTGTTGATCTTCTTGGAGGCCTTGCCAGAGCCAGTGGTGTGTTATGAACTCTACCAACGGTGCCTAGACTGCGCTCATGATAGCCGCCTCTGCAAACAGGTGCAGTGACTATGCTCAACAAACAGAGTTATGTGTTCACTATGCAATTTACTGTATGATGTATACCAACTAGGTGTTGTTTTCTGTTTATTTAAGGGGAAAGGTTGTTTTAGCTCAACTTTATCCCAGATCTGTCATATACTGCAGTACAGTAATGTGTCTGACTAATCTTTATCTACATCTTCTTTTTCTACTAATGACAGTTGATCTCCCAGTTGCCCCGGGCTCACCGCAACGTGTTTCGGTACTTAATGGCCTTTCTGAAGGAGCTTCTCAAGCACTCGCACAACAACAACCTAACAGCCAGCCTCATAGGTATGAAATGGATATCTTCTAGCTTTATAGTAATTGAACAGCTAGTTTAAGCAATTTGGCACAATGTCTGAAGAGAATATACAGTGGGTACGGAAAGTATTCAGACCCCTTTAAATTTTTCACTCTGTTTCATTGCAGCCATTTGCTAAAATCAAAAAAGTTCATTTTATTTCTCATTAATGTACACTCAGCACCCCATCTTGACAGAAAAAAACAGAAATGTAGAAATTTTTGCAAATTTATTAAAAAAGAAAAACTGAAATATCACATGGTCATAAGTATTCAGACCCTTTGCTCAGTATTGAGTAGAAGCACCCTTTTGAGCTACTACAGCCATGAGTCTTCTTGGGAATGATGCAACAAGTTTTTCACACCTGGATTTGGGGATCCTCTGCCGTTCTTCCTTGCAGATCCTCTCCAGTTCTGTCAGGTTGGATGGTGAACGTTGGACAGCCATTTTCAGATCTCTCCAGAGATGCTCAATTGGGTTTAGGTCAGGGCTCTGGCTGGGCCAGTCAAGAATGGTCACAGAGTTGTTCCGAAGCCACTCCTTTGTTATTTTAGCTGTGTGCTTAGGGTTATTGTCTTGTTGGAAGGTGAACCTTCGGCCCAGTCTGAGGTCCTGAGCACTCTGGAAGAGGTTTTCTTCCAGAATATCTCTGTACTTGGCCGCATTCATCTTTCCTTCAATTGCAACCAGTCGTCCTGTCCCTGCAGCTGAAAAACATCCCCATAGCCTGATGCTGCCACCACCATGTTTCACTGTTGGGATTGTATTGGGCAGGTGATGAGCAGTGCCTGGTTTTCTCCACACATACCGCTTAGAATTAATGCCAAAAAGTTCAATCTGGGTCTCATCAGACCAGAGAATCTTATTTCTCATAGTCTTGGAGTCCTTCATGTGTTTTTTGGCAAACTCTATGCGGGCTTTCATATGTCTTGCACTGAGGAGAGGCTTCCGTCGGGCCACTCTGCCATAAAGCCCCGACTGGTGCAGGGCTGCAGTGATAGTTGACTTTGTGGAACTTTCTCCCATCTCCCTACTGCATCTCTGGAGCTCAGCCACAGTGATCTTTGGGTTCTTCTTTACCTCTCTCACCAAGGCTCTTCTCCCACGATTGCTCAGTTTGGCTGGACGGCCAGGTCTAGGAAGAGTTCTGGTCGTCCCAAACTTCTTCCATTTGAGGATTATGGAGGCCACTGTGCTCTTAGGAACCTTGAGTGCTGCAGAAATTCTTTTGTAACCTTGGCCAGATCTGTGCCTTGCCACAATTCTGTCTCTGAGCTCCTTGGGCAGTTCCTTCGACCTCATGATTCTCATTTGCTCTGACATGCACTGTGAGCTGTAAGGTCTTATATAGACAGGTGTGTGCCTTTCCTAATGAAGTCCAATCAGTTTAATTAAACACAGCTAGACTCCAATGAAGGAGCAGAACCATCTCAAGGAGGATCAGAAGAAATGGACAGCATGTGAGTTAAATATGAGTGTCACAGCAAAGGGTCTGAATACTTATGACCATGTGATATTTCAGTTTTTCTTTTTTAATAAATTTGCAAAAATTTCTACATTTCTGTTTTTTTCTGTCAAGATGGGGTGCTGAGTGTACATTAATGAGAAATAAAATGAACTTTTTTGATTTTAGCAAATGGCTGCAATGAAACAAAGAGTGAAAATTTGAAAGGGGTCTGAATACTTTCCGTACCCACTGTAAGCCCTTCATTGTGTAAAATGGTTTGTTTGTATGAGGGGCTCTCATAACCTACAGTGACAACAACAGACAATGCTCTTTTACAATACTTCTATAAAAATGACATCCATGCTTACAACAAGATTCAGCAATATCATGAGATAACAGCATAACACCACACAATGTTTACACTATTATTGTGACATATAAACCTTTGCATACAATACTGCATTATAATTATTAACCGTTTTGCTTACTATACATTTTCTGTCAATCAGGGATTTTACAATCATCTTTATGGAAGCTAGCCTGTTAAATATCCTGACAAATCACCTGACACTGCAGATTTTACAGAACAAATCAAATTGCTTTATTTGAATTTACTTGATAAAAGAGTAAGTAAGATGTATGTTATTCCATCAGTTTCTTTACGTTTTCTTCCTGTTCTTGTATTTTAGCAACACTCTTTGCCAGCCTCCTTATCCGACCGCCACCCAACCTGGTGGGCAAGCAGACACCACACGACCGACAGAAAGCCATCGACTTCATTCTGGGCTTCCTCATGGCAGGAGATGAGGAGTAACCGAGGTCGATGGATCCTCATGACGTCAGTCAGGTTTGGCGTTGATTTCCAACCTGGCTTACTGTTGGTAAAGGACCTGGACCTGTAGGACACTGTGTTACACCATCGACTTGGTATTTTGTCATCTATTGGAGACCAGTGCAGCTGCACCCTACTGTTCACAAACTCTCATATTAGAGGAAAAGACACTTCCATTATAACTATGATGACTATACCAAGTGTCATATCTTCAGTTCATTCACAGTATGACCGCTCGCTGGATTTTGACACTACTTGGGAGAGGTTTGAACTGATGCTTATGCACTTTCTGCTGACCTAAAGGCTCTGTTCCTTCAGACTAGAGTCGTCCTTGTCCTCAGCTGACCCTTCTCATCGTAGGTGCTCATGCCAAAATAACCGCTGAACAGCGAAATGGTATGAATGTGAAAACACTATGTATCTATAGATGCTGAGCGAAAGACTCAGTTACACTAAAGTTTTCAGAAGTAGACTGAATACTAGTATACGGTTCAAAGCAGTAAATAGTCTGAAATGGGATAACTATGGAAATCTATATACTAAGAATGTTTAAGCTTAAGATAATTCATGACAATCCATTTTGCAGAATTTTAACTTTAATGAGGGGACAATAATACCCGTTGTATTATTTATATATTTTTTTTCTTCTCAGTACGCACCATTTTTGGTTTCTACTACAGTGGTTTGTTTTCATCTCTTCATCGGTTGTAAAATATTTCACAGGAAATATTCATAGCTGGTTTTTATTGTCATGTTATAAAAAACGTGAATGTTTGCTGTGTTTTTGTGTAACTTCAGCCGTGAGCCTTACATCTCGTTTTGCCAGTTCCTCTTGAGTTACAAAACAAGTCTTTTAACACACTAACTTCCTGGTCCGCCAGAATCAAGTGAAGAGTCAAACTCTGTGGTTCTTGATGTCTTAAATTGTAGTGATTGTTTCCCTGTTCCATGGGTATATATGACTGTTGATAAGGTGGTGCAAATCTGTAATGGTGTCTAAAGTTTGTCATGTTTATCATGAAGGTGGTACTGTTACTTTCTGTGTTTGTTTACATGTCTTCTTCCTTATTTCTGCCACATCTTAAAGCTCACTATTCGTTGTTTTAGGCCTGTGTGATGCCAAGACACAGTCGTTGTGTTCCTCATGGTAAATGCAGATGAGTTTTAGGTGATGCAGCATTTTCTGTATGCAAGTTTAGCAAGATTTAATGGCTCATTACTCTGCAGGATACAGCCTGTCTTTGTGCGCCTTTCTCATTTGTGCCACAGAGGATCTCTATTCTTTTTCTTTTTTCTGTAGTCACTGTTGCAAAACATGTCATGATTAGTGAAATAAGGAACTTCTATGCTGTGTAAAATGAACAGTGTTTCCTCTTTAACAGTTTTACCCAAGAGATGTCAGCCTTAGCTTTCCTATTGGACAACAATATTCACATTTATCACATTCATTCCCCCTTGCTCAGAATCTTCAGAAGAGTTCATGTTTGGAGACAATGTGAGCACATGATGTAATGCTCCAACGCTGACAATCATGGCACTCAGAAATGCCCGTCGGGCTGACGTTGCTCTATTCCTGTGTAGTTTCTTCTTCCTTATTGCCATCAATACACTAGATTCTTCTGTTGGTGTTAATCAAGCCGAGCTTTGCCAAAAGGTGGCTTGGGTGTAAAGGCATAGTTCCTGGTGATTCAGATTTGGGAGAGCCATTTTGTAATAGCCATTTATTTATTAACTTTGTCTGTGGAAATACCACCATCATCATCATGTCAAACCCAAAATCAATATAATCAATAACCTCTGATTTTAAGTGTTGTCTTATGCCACTGTACCAACTGATGTATTTGTATGGATTCATTGTGCTTTTTGTCTTCGGTTTTGTCACAATCTGTTCATAAAGTTATGGTACATTTAAAGTTACACAAGGAAACACTTGCACCTGTTTTCAATTTTTTGGTGCTTTTAATTTATTTAACACAAATAAAACTGTGTATAAAGCTGTTTTGTTCTTCCCATTCAACACCCCCTTATTGAAATGTGTGTGGTTAAAAATGTTGACACCTTCCTATTTGGATAAACAACAATAAAAACAACAATTGTACATTGGTACACTTTTGGGGCTCACTCTTCGGGAACATGTGAAATCGTTACTGACTGATGTTTGTGCTATAGTTAGTCTACTCAGTGGCCGGTGAGAGATCCTTCATCTCAGTGCTACATTCTCATTCCCTATGAATATAAAACCCCCTCCTCAGACCTGATGCCACCATTTGCCTGTTGTGTTGTCGCTGAGTTTGAACCCATCCAAAGCCATGGCCATGCTCAGAGTGTCTTCTTATCGCAAGCTGTTTGAGGATGAAAACTGGAGTCGAAATGGAGGGTTGAGTATGCAGTGTGCAGGGCAGTCTCGGGCCTCCATCAGGTCAGTGTGGGTGTCTGGGTAGAGGGCGGCTTCAGGATTTGGCCTGCTCTTACAAATATGAAGATTTCAGTGTTTTTTTATCAGATGCTAACTATTTTGGGTTTTCCTGAATGGTGACGACATGCTTTTTGCGCTCATGGAAATAATTACATCCTGGTCTATTATGTTCATTTACTGTAATGGGTGGGGCTGAACATTACTGAGGCGTTTAAAGAATGATACTGTATAGTAGAGGAACTTGTTCCTGTTGTATACTTGGTGAAAGTCATTAAATGTCCCTGAAGGTGGTTCAGATTATCTCCCCCAGGATCCTTCAGAATTCAGTCCAGCCTTTGGTACTTTGTGTCCTTCTCTCAGGGGTGCGGCTGTTGACAAGTGTGACTGTGACAAGTTAGACTTTGTAGCTGCCAAGGCGCTCAACAAGGAGGGTCTGAACCGGTTTGTCCAGGACCGCACCATCATTGCTACCCTCAATGACCGCCTGGTCAAGCTTATTGAACTGGTGAGGACAAACACTGTTACTGCTCCCAATGACACATCAGCACTTTATTTTTCCCTCTGCTGTGTCATGCCATTGAATCTCTATATATACACATACAGTATGTACCTGTTCTGACTGTATCCATTTTTAATCTGTGACCTTTAGGCCCATTGTTTTGAGGAGGAGAATGAGTCTCTTGAATGTCAGATTGTTGAACTACAGGAGGAGTTGAATAGTCGGCAAACCTCCTCCGGCATCTCCTCCGCTGTGGCTGAGTGCGTTACAGACTACAGTCTGGATGCAGTGGTGGAAAGACTGCGTAGGGAGAGGGTAGGGTGCTGCTGCAGCGGGGTGTGTCTGCTGCATGTTTCTGTGTGTGTGACATTGCTAAATTGGGTTTTCTCACAGGCATTGCACTTCTCATTCCATCCCATCAATATTACTTCAGTTTGTACAGTGACAGGCAGGCCTGATCTATAACCTTGTCAAGATCCATCACTGTCTTCACTGCGTCTCCCTGCAGGATGAGATTCTGTGTGACACCGAGGAGCTGCAGAAAGAGCTGGAACGTCTGATGAAAGAGTACGAGAAGGCTGCACAGCAGAGGATCCTCTTCCAGCAGGAACGACAAGATGTTGCTGAGGTAATAGTGAATACAATAGGAACTGACAAGCCAGGATTAAGAAACACTGAGGTCACAAGTCCACAATAAGATAAACGTGTGTGATATCCATAAAGGCTTACTACGTGAATGACAATTTATTATTTCTGTACAGATAAGAAATAACCGATTAAAATGCATAAATAAAAATTACTCGTAATAACAAATTTGTAAGGGAATGATCCTTTAAGTTGGAGTATATTCTTGGCTTGATTTATACTGTTTTATACCTGATTTGAAAGGAAGCAACTCCATAAATAAAACTAGCTGCAGAGATTGGCTGTGATTGGCCCTCCAAACCAGAGATGTGGTTTAGTCAGAAGAATAGAAATAGCTATGTTTAACCCTTTACATGGTCAATGGTATTATCACACTGCCATGACATTGGAGGGGATAATGGCCAACCTTGAAGTAGGAGAAGCTGATATACACTATTTTGGGGTCCAGAAACACTGGATCTTTTATTTACCATAATGCAACCAATAGCACGTTTTATTAGACCCTCCATGCCTGGTTAATTTGCCAACTCTTTCAAAGCCCACACTCCCAATTGGTAATGTGAGTTTCTATTATAAATTTCTTCAAGCTCAGGCTGAGATAACCCTGATGATGTTACCACTTAGGTAAAGGATTGGTATGACAGTAAAACAATAATTACAATAGTTGTAATAGTAGCTGTATTATTGAATCAATTGACCCCACTGGGGGTCCCCAAAGCTTCACAGTGGGCGTGGCCTTCTTGATTTTAAGGGGTGTAAGAAAACTTACAGTGTGACCTATATCTCAGCATTTTGTTCATTTCTGTGAAGATAACTAAATTAATTTTAGATTATTATTTAATATCTAAACTCTAAACACACACTGCATTTACAGAACTTTCACTCTGATAAACAGCCTGGTCCTGCATTAGAAAAGTATCCTGTTAAAACAACCAGCTAACAGAGAATGGCCAACCATCAGATAGAACAAAACACTGAATTTAACTACTATTAAGTAGTTAAGATTGTTAAAAATAGAAAACACACCAGATAATTGTATAAAAAGATCCATAAAATATCAGGAAAACTAATCTCGGATCAATATGTAATAATCTGCTCAAAATGTATCCAAATCACTTGTTTTACACAAACTATTTACATTAATTGTGCAGTTTGCCACTTGTTCTGTAATGTTATTGTTATTTATTGAATATAATATAAAATCTACATAAAATATGTCCTTTCAAGAAAGAGTTTGGGAACCACTGCATTAGAAGACCTTTGTTGTGATAATGGACCTTCAGCACTAGATGGCAGTGTTGTCAAGTGTCTCCTCCTCCCTTATGTCTTCCTGGTGAATCAAATGAAACTGCCACAGCTGCTCCTCTGTTGCCCTGCCCAATGGGTGTTGATCACCAGCAGTCACACAATCTGGGCTGGTGGCCCACTGCAACCTGAGCCACCAACTTTCCCTATACCCCCCCCCCACGCATGCCAGAGCCCCATCTCCTCCCAGCCGGGCCAGATGCGAGGGAGGTTTTAATTTCTCCCTTACAGATGTAATGCGGGCTGTAATACGGTGCCGTAATGTTCCTGCTGGCTCAGTTCTCTGGTTCTGAATTGAAAGCAGCTGCAGGGCGACAGGACTCGGTGGGAAATCGGCAGGGAGGTAGAGGGAGAGGGAGAGCAGAGATGCGGAGGAGAGGAGCGAATACTGCACAGCTCAACCCACAACTAGCTGCAGTTCAACATAATAGTAGACTGACAGTGATGAAACAAGACACGTTTGGTGTATTTTAAGATATACTACTGGCTATTGTGTTCGTTCCGCTCATTTTCAAGGCCCATTATCCCCCCTTCATTGTCTTACAGTTATTTATACATGGGACTTTTTGTTTCATTAATGTCTTGTATCCCCAAAGCTGGTGGGCTGCAGTAAAAACACACAGTAGCACAAGTGAAATGAGTTTAACAATATTCACTAGAATCTAAATATAAATACAATGAAGTGAATGAACGAGGAGGCAAAGTGTTTGGTCTGTTTTAGTTAAGTGCGGGGAAACATTAAACTGCCCCTGAGGATGAAAATAATGGTCACAGATAAGAAAATGTTCTCCATCCACTATTAGGCAGTACAAGGAGAGAAGTTATGTTAAAAGTCTTTATTTCTTCAGGCATATTGTTAAACACGCCTACTGGTTTCGACCTCACAGGGTCCTCATCAGGGCGTAAATAGAGGCCCTGAACACTTATTTTATCAATCTGCTTCCTACTGTGAACGATGGAGTCCTACACAGACACAATTTACTGAAACATTTTATAGCAGTTTTGTTTATCTCACATGACTCTATTGGAGAAAGGTGATGTCACTTCTAAGCACCAATCAGGAGAATCTGATGACAGTTGGTGGGTTGTTGCTCAGTCGTTCAGTTTTTATTATTAATAATAAAGCTAAACTTTTGCATTGTTGCTCATGAATGTGTAAAGTTGTAGAAAAATACTCCAGATTTGATTACAGTTTGAAGCTGCACTGCTAAATATTTGTATGTTTTTGTGTTGTTCGTCTGTACGTACATCCCATTCTTGTCAAGGAGATATTTAACGCCTCAAGGTCACTGACATCACAAAACATGTTTTTGGTCATAACTTAAGAATTGATGCAATACTATGACAAAACAGACATTTAATGGGGTACAACAATAAGGTGATGTCTTCTGTCGAAAGGGTCCAAAGGCTTTCACCTTTCCTCTTCATCCATTCTGCCTTTCTCTTACTGCCTCATTCTGAATTTTGAGCGTCATCGGAATCACTTGACTCCAAACAACGTATCGGAGCGCAGCGAGCTAGTCATGATCCTGTGAGTGAGTGGAGACCCTTGCCCTCGTGTGGGCGTTGCAACACTTTAATGTCGATTCTAGTGTTCCCCTGATAGTCTATAAGGATCATAATCCAATAATCTTTCTTCATCCCCTGTGTTGTGATGGTTCTTGCTTTTGCAATTATATTGTTTGGCTATTCGCCACATTAAAGGATCATATAATGTTTGAAGGCACCATGCTCTTGAGATGCTTACTGGTTTCTGTATAATCCTCCTGGTCTCCGGCCACTTTCTCCTCTGCCTCTCTTAAAGTTGCTTCTCTAGTCTCCAGCGTTGCTGGGTGCAGGGTGAGATTGGCTCACAGTTGGTAAGTGTGATCTGAAGAATGTAAAATGGTTTCACCTACAGCTCATAGAGAGGCTTTGCAGCTAAAAATGCCAGAAGAACCACATTTTGTATCACTATACTACAATAGTACATGTGTACCTGTTCAGCCTATACATCTATGATAATCCTTCAATAATCAGTTCATAAATGTATATACACTAAAATCATACATATGCACCCTCAATATAGTGATAACTTCCAATTAGCCAATAAATACTCTTTTGGTGGAGGCATACAACCATGACACAGTAATTCTAGTTATTTTGAAAATAGCTTAAATGACGCTGTAATGTGAAAGGGTTAGGGTTAGGGTAGTTCGCTCATAGTGATCTTCCAAATCTGCAGTCCCCCCTCAGCTCTGTGGAGTTTTTTTCTGTGGTTTGCTTTCAGCTCATTGTTTTGGCTTTCCAACCCACAACTTTATTGTTTTGGCTCAGTCTCACTATTCCCATCATCGTTGCCATTTTGAGGGAAAAAGCTACTGCTGCACAGTACCTGCCCAGCACCAAACGGCAGGCAGACAAGGTTAGCGAATAGCTGAGTGCAGTTAGCGGCTAAAGAGTTCGAGATTTCTCACAAAATGGAGCTAAAAGGAGAGTGAATATTGGACTTAAATAAGCCATGTGGACAGAAACACAACTCAAAATGAATGCTAATGTTGCTCTCATTGATGCTATAAACAGGCAGTTGTTACAGTGTGTTTACTAGATCAACTTTATAAGGTGTTAATCTGTCAGTGTTGTTTTTACTTAACTGCCTTTTTAAAGTAACACAGTTTCTCTCCAGCTTCTGGCTGATATTTGAACACAGGCAGCAGCAGGAGCAGACTACTTTTGCCTATTGTTGTCCATCAAGGTCCCTGCCACCCTCCCAGCGAGGCTCCACAACTTCACCACCAAACCCTCTCTGCATGCCTCCAAATGTAAATGCAGGCACCCACAGTAATTGCATCCTACACCAATTAATCTGGTTCTTTAAAAAGAGTAGACGAGCAGAGAGCCCCTGCTGGCGAATGGATTGGTGGACAGGGCTTTTGTGTCTAACTAGCCTCCTTCTGATCTTCCTCCTCCTCCTCCTCCTCCTCCCCCTTCCTCTGCATTGCGGTGTCTACTTGCTGTTCAGTGAAACAGGTGGATGTGCTGGTGCTGATGGTTATTAAAATGGTTGCTCGGGTGGAAACAAAGACCCTTTCTACTTTTTCTTCAACCTGTGGTGTGATTTAGTTCCCAGACTGCAGCGTTGCTCTCAGACATCCTCCAGAAATTAAGTTGAACTTCTTTACTTCCAGCCTTGTTCTCTGTTAACTTGATTTTCTTTGCAGGAAGTGGATGCTGTGACAGCAGTGTGTTTGGCGTTGAGGGAGCAAGTGGCTATCTACGAGGAGCAGCTGGCCAACATGGAGGCCCAGCAAAAGACGGTGAGGGGGGAGAGGATATATAGCTGCAGTGTGATGAGACAGGAAGAGTTTATAGCCATGAAAATGACTCGAAATGTAGCACTTAGGTCAGACAGGAGTGTTGGAGAAATGCCCAGACCTGTGGTGACAAACACAGCTGTGATGACCCCAGTCACCTTGCTGAAGAGCCAAGAACGGCCCTGTCACCAGAAACATATGGGGAGAGGATTAAAACACAAAATATGTAATCTAATGAATGGTCAATTTTAGGCCCTTGTTTAATGTTCTGTGCTCACTTCAGTCCTTGTTGCAGTTTCTTAAAGGGGTAGTTTGACTTTTTGGGAAATAGCCTTATTTGCTTTCTTTCTGAGAGTTAGATGAGAAGATCAACGTCGCTCTCATGTCTGTTAAATAAGCTACAGCCAGTTGGTGGTTAGCTTAGCTTACAGACAGTACAAAAAGCCTGGCTACGTCCAACGGTTCAAACATCTGCCGACTCATACCTTTAAAAACTCAGAAGTGATAACTGTCTTAACACCTGCACATGTGACGGATATGAGAGCGGTGTCAGTCTCCATGTAACTCCTGGCAAAAAGGCAAATAAGCACATTTCCCCAAAATGTCAAACTATTGCTTTAAAACAGGCAGGTGTTTCCAATGCACATCATTACCTATATTGCATCCACACACACCCTGTTCTCTCCACCTTCTACAATATTTTCCACCTCGCCAGGAGATGACAGACGTGCCCCAGTATCAGATCTAGAGGCTGAAGGCAGAGAGAGAGAGGGAGAGAGGTAGAGAGAGGGAGAGCCAGCTGAAGCAGCACCAACTCCATCACACTGTGTTTTTCTCTGCAAAGCTGGGCTGCCCGGCGTTTAACACACTCCCTCTGGGACACGCTCGATAACTCACAGTCCGGGAAATGCGGCTGAATACCAAATGAAAACAGAAGTTCCCTTTGTTTTATTAACTGTTGTTACTATCAGCACTTGCAGATACCCCATATTCCCCCGACAAATCGGCAGCCATGTCGTTATTTAGGTGGAGGGAAAAGGAGAAAGATGTCAGACTGCCACTGCAGCTCTGTAACAGTTCATTTTCTCTGTCGTGGATGTGGGGTTTTTGTACTAAAGGGGGGACATATTACAGATTCATACATATACAGATATACAGATATTGGAAGCTGAAGACATACATGTAGGGACCTTGGATGTATGTGTGAATGCCTCTAAATGTACTGTGTGTGTGTTTGTATTCACAGAGGTGGATGTTTATTCAAGTACTGAATCTTAGTATGTTTGTATGTGAGTTTTTGCATTTCATGCCACTTTATATTTCTACAATTTAGGAGGCAAATATTGTACTTTTATTCCACTACATTTATTTTACAGCTCTAGTTACTAGTTACTTTACAAGTTAAGCTTACATTAAAAAAGGAAAAGCAAATAAAATATGATTGATAAAAATACTCAACAGTATATGAAATAGCTAAACATTTGCTCAACCTCAACCAACTACGACAGTAAAATGTAACTAACACATCAATTCATGAGTAATAATCTAATAATACATTATAAAATAGCCTAACACTCACAGCGGACATTTGTCTGCATAACAAGTACTTCTACCTTTGACAATATAAGTACATTTTGCTGATAATACTTGTAACATATTCAGATGCTTTACTTAAAAGTGCCATTACCACGCTGTAAGAAATCCTCTGTTACAAGTCCTGCATTCAATTAAATATTAACTGCAGAATATACTTAAAGTATTGAAAGTAAAAGAACCATTTATGAGTAATGTCCCTTTTCAGTGTTCAATTATGTATTATTGATTTGTTATAAGCAACACTGCTGTTGTAGCTGGTCCAGGTGGAGCTCATTTAAACTAGTTTTATCAATAATAATGCATCATATTTAATAAAGTGATTACATGGCTCTGCTAAAAAAATGTTGTGGAGTAAAAACCAAATTCCTTTCTGAAATGTAGTATAGTAGACGTATAAATAGAAATACTCCAAGCTGAATTTAAGTGCAGTACTTGAATAGATGTATTAATTTACATTTCACCTCTGAGTGTAGGATCTGAATATATTTCACACTTCTTGTGTGTTTGTATGTGTGGCATGTATGAGCAGGCAGTGGAGAGTCTACTGGAGCCAGCTGACTGGACTACAGGAGAGGTGGCAGCTATTAAATTTGGCAGCCCTGACATCACTGCGGCCTTGAATGTAAAGGAGTACTACTGCCAGCTGGCTGAGAGCCTCCAGGTACGAAACACTGTAGCATAAACACATAAACATGTCATGACGCGGAAGCCTTTTTGTGCCAAATGCTTTACAGTAGCATGTCTGTGTACATCTATAGAATCACAATCCTATCCCTGGCTTCTCAAGTTCTGTACTTGATGATAGTATGATAAGCTTTTAGGATACATTTTTAAAGATTAAACCAGTGTTTTATGTTTTTGACGTGTCCCCTCGTCACATTTTACGTGTCTGCAGTCGGGTTTCCATCTAATTGTAGTGCAGATTTGAACAGAATTTCCAGAAAATGCAAATGAATGTCTGTTTGCATCCACTACTGTTTGTTTCATGTATTCATTTGAGGAACATACAGTCTCCTCATTGCTCCACACAGACCTGATGCTTCAGTCACTTCAGCGTTTAAGTCACATACTTGCATTTGATCTTTGAAGATACACCAACTTTTCTATGTCAGCCATGCATAAAAACGTTTCCTCTTATTTCCACTCAGTCAGAATTTGTAGAACTGTTAATATTATCCAATATTTCACAAAAAAGCAAAGATTAGATAAAAGGAAAATTGATATAGACTTGAGTAGCAGAACTTCTCCAATAATCATCTCACAAGCCATCACATTTTTCTTGAGACCCTTTCAAGGGAACCCAGCCCTTAGGTTGGGAAACATTGGATTGAACTATTTAACTATATGTGAAGACTAGCTAAACCTTGACTAGCTACAACAGTAAAATGCCACTTTTACATTAATGCATCACTATTAAGAATCTTATAATGTGATGTATCAGTGACATTTTGTTCCTGTATAATTTTACTTTTCTTTACTTGGAGTGTTTTTAAATTGTTCTATTGCTATTTTTATTTAAGTAAAAGGATCTGAGTACTTCTTACACCACCTATATGCATTTTCAAGAAACCAGCTGCCATCCTCATCCTCCTACTGACCACTTGACCCCTCCTATTTTCATCACATCACCTTCTCTCTCCCCCTGCAACAGCCCGGTCAGGTCCAGATGTAAATCTCAGCTTTCACAAATCACACAGCGATACTCCCACTTGTTTTCTTTCCCTCTTAACACAACACCAGGGAAGAACTTGAGAATCAGAGGTGCAGTTCTGGACCCGAACAGAATGCCTTTGTCTACCTGAGTGTGAGTGTGAGTGTGAGTGTGAGTGTGAGTGTGTGTGTGTGTGTGTGTGTGTGTGTGTGTGTGTGTGTGTGTGTGTGTGTGTGTGTGTGTGTGTGTGTGTGTGTGTGTGTTTTTTTTTTTTGGCAAGCAAAGAGGTGCTGCATTGGGGTCAGACTATAGCTCCGGTGGGTCTGACCCCCTCTGGGGCGAGGATGTCTGCCTGGTTCAGAGGTCAGGGCTGTAATCAGACTGCTGGCCGCCTTCCCAGGCTCCTCGGCAGCACTGGAGTGGACGTTGGTGCGTGTGTGTGTATGCCTCCTTCATTTGGAGGCATGGCTGAAGGGTATCTGGCGTGTTTATATATTTGTGTGTCTGTCTAGATGCGTAGGTGTGTTGCTTGTTCCCAAAATCCCGTCTATTCACTCTCTCTCCCTCCCATTCGGTCTCTTCTCTCGCCAGCTGGACACCGTCCTGTCTGTGCCTGGCCTCGATTACGAGACGCAATTGTCTCGATGCTGAAATGATTGCTATTGGGTTTGAACAGTAATGGTGATTGCTGGCCGACTCCCACACACCTGTGCACCCTCATGTTGCTCGTTTCGGCTGCATTTGTTCCATCTAATCAGGAATGTGGTGTACACAAGGAGAGTTTTAACCATCAGCCGGTATGAGAGCCTCTGATTGCTCTTTGCTCCCCTGTCAAAGTGCACTTAACTGCCCAAATGAAAGCACTATCCTCCCTGGTCTTGTGCATTTGCAGACTCAGACTGAAAGGTCAGACGTTTTTTTTTTTTTTATACCCACAAACATTCAAAACTGCACTTATTCCTCATCTTCTGTCTGCAGTGCGAGTGTGGTGCAGGCTCTTCTGCTGTGGTTCGCAGTGGGGATGGAAAACAACTGGAAGTGGGAGGAGCTGTGGGATCAACAGTCAAAGACTTGTCAAAGATAAAGGACATCGGTGAAATAAAGACGCTGGTAAGTGGACAAAAAAAGTATAAGTAGCCTATAAAAGAAAAAGCCATGCCAACGTCATATCAAGTGCAGCCTTTAGAACCATTAAAGGGATAGTTGACATTTTTAATGTGACACTTACAAGCTACCTTGCTGTAAGTTACATGAGAAGATTGATACCCCGCTCATGTCTGCAGCCTAAATATGAAGCTACAGCAACTGGTTAGCTTAGCACAAAGACTGGACGCAGGGCGAAACAGTTAGCCTGGCTCTGTCCAACTGTAACACAATCTGTCTACTGCACCTCTAAAGATCACTAATTAACACACTGTGTGTTTGTAAAACCACACCTTGTCATTTTTACACTTCAGTTTTGTACGGATTAAACAAAGGGCCGGTTCCCAGGCTAGCCGTTTCCCCCGTCTGCAGTCTTTGTGCTAAGCTAGCTAGCCAGCTGCTAGTGGTAGCTCCATATTTACTGTACAGACCTGAGAGTGGTATCAATCTGACCATCTAGCTCTCTATTGCTTTAAAAAAAATAGTCCCTAGGAAAATGGGTGACTGTGCTCTAAGGATGATCCAGAGTAATTGTTTCTTGGAAAAAATGTTGTGGTTAAAATATTTAGTATTATGCTATGAGCACCACTCATAAATCACAGGAAACCTCTACAAATAAAACCAAAACTGTCTGCATGGCTTGTTACCACTCCTGGTAAGTAAGAAAATCTGTATTTTTGGGGATGGAACCCACCCTTTAAGTCTCACAGTTGCACACCATTTAAATACTTCAGTTAATACCTACTGATTCAAATCTTTTTGAATACACATTTCCCTCCTTTTTACTGACAAGAAAGAGGAGTCTTACAACCCACAATTGGCTCTGCATCGGCCATCAGCTCCTAAATCAGACATAATGGTGAAAATGAATGGTTTCCCACAGCAGGCGAAGGGAGTGGTGAGCAGCTGAGTGACAGCAGAGCAACAGTGTGGGAGATCCTGCTGACCAGAGTGTTTACTCTGCGGACGCTTTCAGCAGGAGATGTGAAGGGCTCGACTTCAGCTCAGACAGGATTTATTGCCCTCTGTGTCCTCAGTTATTAAGTACAGTCTTTCAGAGCGCCTGCAGTGTCATAAACGTCTTAAAACTTCACACACACACACACACACACACACACACACACACACACACACACACTGACCGGAGACTTCCTCTGTAAGTGGAAGAGAGGAAATAAACCTTCATCCGATGTTTCTCATCTCAGCCAAAAAATGCCAAGAAAGCAATGGTGGATTTGAATGAAATAGACAGCAAAGTGAGCCATTAATAAAGAGACGTACCAGGAAATCATGACTTAGGTAAAAAAAATTCACCAGGTGACTCCAGGAAACAGAAACTACCTCCTCTTAGTTCAGTTTCTTTCACGTTGATCAGTGGTCAGACCCCAGCCGACACCTAACCACATCTGTAACAAACATGGTGGTTTGGTTCTCATTACTGTGGCTGTAGCTCTACCTCCAGCTCTTTAAATAAACAGCGAGCCTCTGTAACCACACAGCAGAAGTCTCCCAACGTCATCTACTTTTCTCTAATATGCAGCACACAATCCCCACTTCTGCTCAATCCAGCCTGACGGATGGACAGCACGGCTTGATCTGCTCTGTTTCCTCTCTCGCCTGTGATGGATGCCTCAGGTCTGGTTTCTCACTGAGACACAACATGGCCAAACAAACAGATTGCAGTGAAATCAGCCCTGACGCAGAAATGTATGTAGTAGAGAAGGCACCGATGGGGTTGGTCGCCACTACTCGCGCACACACAGGCAGCCAGACCACACTTATCATGCCAGGAAGAACGGAGGAGTTTGTGAGTAAGTGACTCACTCGACCAGGTTGGGAAGTCATCATCAGTCTGTGAGTTGTAACCAGGGTCTTCCTCTACTCACATGATCTCACTGAAAGACGAGCATTGGCCGCCTGGATCCCCATCTGGCCTTGACAGCTAATTGTTGAACTTCTGTGATTGCTGTAATTACTCACGGTGGGACACCACAGCCTCAGACATGGGTGGGATGGGTGGGTGGGCGTTGTGGGGTGGATGGATGCCGGTCATAGAAGTAAAGTAACCTGTTTTATCTCTGTAGGTCGGGTTGATTCAAATATGTGAGTTTAAACGGCAACCTCGTGGCTGGCAGATAAACCTGTGGGTGACGTTACGGACACTACTTCCTTTCCATTTTACAAAAAACTGTTTGATGAATAATGAATAACTCCTTATCTCAGAAAATACACATAAGTGACGCCTCTTGCCTCTAATAGACAAGCCTAGTGATTCTCTGACAACTCCGGAGTTACCTCCCGTAGTCCAGCCAGTCTGCTGCTGTCTCGAGGGAATGGTCATCCTGGGAGCCGGGCGGTTTGATAGTAGCTCCATGGAGTGGAAAGAGGATGGAGTTGGGAATAATTCAATTCTGTAGAAAGGGTGAACTATGAAATACAGACCTTTGGCTAGTTGCCAGGGGTTGGCAAGCTAATCGATTACTCTCAGGGCGGACTTGGCCTCTTCCACTGATAAGTGGATGCTCCCCTTTTAGGTTAAAATGCCAGCAATGCCGGTGCTCCAGTGTGGGAAAGTCACCACAGACTAGCTCTGTATACTGCATAATACAGATACCTGGTGGTGATGGGCTTAATCAGCAGTGTGTGAACTGAACTTAATGTAAAAGTCCTTCATTCAGGCTTTAAGTTAAAGCTACATTTTTATATCAAAAATGTATCAAATAAATGTGTGTAGTGTGAAAGGGGTTGCTCATGGAGACCAACCCACAGTTGTCATCCTCTTTCTTGTTGTTGTTTTGATTTTATGGCCCACAAACTCTGCCCTCATCATCCTTGTTTCAACAGCAGTACAGAAGAGGCCGTGGCCCCCTGATTCAATTGCTGGCCTGCCTTACTGCCACCCACTGCCACCCACCCCCACCCCCACCATTTGCATAATAAGCTTCTCAGTAATGAGTACTGTATGTATAATATGCTGCCCTACTGTGAATATATTTTGAATAAATACCCATTGTATGGCGGTGTGTCTGGATTTCTGTAGATTTCTGAGCTGCAAAAGGAGCTTGCTGAGCTTGAGAAGTGTAACGAGGAGCTGGAGGACGAGGTTGAGATGAAGAAGGCTGCATACGTGGACGAGATTGCTGAGCTGGAGGTCTGAGAGTGGACTGATTAATGTAATCATAGACTGTAAAGGACCAGTGGTTTGGACCAATTCTGTCATTTAATCTCTTCCTCTAATCCTACCATCGTGGTGTGTGTGTGTGTGTGTGTGTGTGTGTGTGTGTGTGTGTGTGTGTGTGTGTGTGTGTGTGTGTGTGTGTGTGTGTGTGTGTGTGTGTGTGTGTGTGTGTGTGTGTGTGTGTGTGTGTGTGTGTGTGTGTGTGTGTGTGTGTGTGTGTGTTATTTAGTGTACTATAGATGAAATGCGGCACCAGGACACTGACTTCCAAGTGCAGATGAAAGAGCAGTGTGAAGACTACAAGGAGCTGCTCAGTGAGAAAATGGCCAGAGACATGGAAATCACTGCCTACAGGTCAGAACATATCAATATATATATATATATATATATATATATATATATATATATATATATATATATATACACATCTGATGAAGTGGTGTTTTTTTCCCCCTGTTCCTGAGATTGTTTTAATAGTTTGTTAGCTCAACAACAATTCTTAATTAATTAAATTCAAAATGCAGCAAAGACAAATGATGACGATGATAATGATCATAATAATAATCATAATCATATTAATAATAAAAAATTAGGCTGAATTACATTACATAACCTAGGATGCCAAATACAGTATAACTGTAGGCAGGCTGTATATATTGTAGATGGATGTGTATACATGTGTTTTAGGGGTTGGAAGATAAAATGAATCTTTCCTCCAGGGACTTAAAATTACAGTTTAATAAAGACCTAATATGCTCTAATAGACCGTGATGTACTTGTGCTGACCCATTGTAATGATGAGCTGCCATAAATACAGCACTCACCGGGGTCATCCATACCTGCACAACTCTCATTCCCCTCTTAAATAGAGCTCCGGGTTGTTATTCTTAAATTAAACGCCTGCATTTTTAAAACACACTCCATGTCACGTACAGCACAGCACATTTATACCAGAGAAGATAAGAATACTTTGGGACAGGGAGGTCTAACTGTAAGCGAGACTGTCAGTCAATAGGAGGACTTGAACAAGCACTCTGGGGCAGGGATGGACAGAAAATGTCTGCTGCAGAACATGGAGGTTTTCATTCCAACAAAAACACTGCACCAGGTGGTTTCACTGATTAGTTTGTCTTCTCCTGTTTAAAGGTGTTCAAGTCATAAAGTCAACTGCTGGAGTTTCTGATTGCAATTAAAATCCACAGCCTTCCCTGACATGTCTTATAGATTCCCATCTCTGCGGCGGGGGGTCAAATGAAAACAGGCGTCCCCCTGTGGTGCTCAATAAAGTGCCACACATTATTTAAACCTGTCGAGGAGAATGAACTGTTCAGGGCGAAGCGCATAATGTTCCTAGGGGTGAGTTCATTAGATTTTAAATTAACTCGATGCTCTGTTTACTTTTGACATTCTTTATATAACGAAATGAGCAAATTGCAAAGCACACAAGAAAACATGTGGAAATGACGGGTCCACAAGAAGTTTCTGCCTTAGCGGTATTTCCGCAAGATCACGTGAAGACCAATATTTATCCAAGCATTGCGCATAATGTCACCTGCATTGTTCATAATAAGATATTCCTGCAAACAAAGGGCTGACATTGGGTCACAGGAAACAGTTTCTGAATATGATGCAGTTTCCTGTATGTGACCTTGAAGACGTTTCATGTCATTCCCTCCTTCCACTGAGGTTGTTTAACCATCTGCCATTCTGGTATGTGGAGTGACGCACTTCAGCCAATCTCATCCTGCTGCCACGGACTTCCTCCTGGTCCCTCCATCGCAGATCCGACTGCATCTGACCCCCAGGGGGCCCTGCTGCGGACCTGAGCTCAGACCCTCACAATACCTCATTAGAATGGGCAGAGAGGACCCCACACTGTCAGCGCTGTGTGCTGGGCCACCGCCAGCTCTTCTCCATGCCAGCCTGTTAATGTCAGCCCTCTCTTTACACACATTTCCAAATTCGCCACAGTTTTAATTCCCTGTCGTTACCCAACAGACTGTCCCAGAGACATTTAAGGAACAGGAAAGGCACACAGTTGATGCCAACTCTTTTTTTTTTCCTCTCTTTTTTTATTTACTGGATGTTTTGTCATCCGTGATTAAAACCATGAATAAGAAATGAAAATGGCGGTTGTTTATTCTCTCCGTGCCGTGGCAAACTGTCTGTACAACAGACCCTAATGACCCCAGGCTGCCATTACTGGGTGGCTTATCGCCTGTGAAAGCATCTCAGAGCAGTTTAGGCAGATGCTCACTGCTTTTGCTCACTGCTAATGTGAAACATATTACACTGTAATTCATTCTGCTGTTCATTGTGGTCTGCTCCCGCTGCTGCATGACACAGCAACAAGTAGCTCACCTAAAGGACCATCCTTTTTAGTTAATTGTATGCTTTTCAGTGGATGGCTGTACTTTAGGTCACATCTTAAAACTTCTATAATCAATGTTTTTATATTAACAATGAATCAAATGAGGCCCCTCATCCACTTTGTTGTTTTATTTTGGTTCACTCTCATCAGTCTGATCATCAGCGTTTCCAGATGTAGCACGCAGCTGTTTTCAGTGAAATAGCTTTAAAAACCTGCAGTGCGCTACCTGCTCAGCACCAAATAGCAGACTGACACAGTTAGGGACACTATTTCCCTCAGGAGTTGGTAGAGACCAAAAACGCTTAAAAAGAGGGTGGATATTGGACTCAAATTCATCACGTGGGCACGATTGTGACTTCAAATGAATGTTAATGTTGCCTTTTGTCTGCTGGATGTGTAAATAGGCAAATGTTTGCTAACAAGTTCGTCATATTAACTTCATATGATATAAAATTATGTCAGTATTCTGTTTACACCCTGTTTGTGGTGCCTCCAAGTGTCCAAAAATGTTATTGCAGGTTTAAAGGACCAGTGTGTAGGATTGAGTGGCATCAATGAAGTTGTAGGTTTACCCTATGATATTTAGTTAACTCTCATTGAGAATTAAAGAAACCAGAAAATATTCACATTTGACATTTTTTTCTTTAGAAAATGGCCCAAAACAAAAAAGTTGCTGAATTTTAATTTACACACACAGGGGACTTCTCGTCACCTCAATGTCCATGTTCAAGGTTCATGATTGAAAGATCCAGAACAGCTAAATGAACTAGAGCTGAAATGATTCATCAAAAATATATTGGTAACTATATTGATAATCAATTAATTGTTTGAGTAATCCAAATATTCCAGTAGTTCCAGCTTCTCAGTTTTAATGGTTTTAACAGTTTGTTGGACAACAAAAAATATTTGAAGTTATGAATTGTGGCGGGAATGTTTTATAATTTCTTTCCAAATTTTATGAACCAAACTTAAGTAACTAACTTGATTAATTTGTTCATTAACTTGGAGAATAATCTGCAGATTAATTGATACAGAAAATAACGTTTTGTCAACTTCTGTTTCCAGGATCAAGAATAAACTTTAAACCTGAATAAATTGTTCTGTCTTTCTGGTGCACACTGACACCTAACAGGTGCTTGTCAGCTGCTCTACCTGTGTGAGTTGATCCAGTTGGTCACCTGTACTTTGTGTGTTTATGTGTTTCTCTGGTTCAGGAGTCTGGTGGAGGGAGAGGAGGAGAGGCTGTGCAACCTGTGACTTGAGGCCGGAGAGTCAGACTGGCTGGCTGGACTGTGGCCGGATGCTCCCCCACACATGGATTAGAAAATAGACAAAAGAGAAACGCGAAAACGCACCCAAATCCGCTCTGTGAAGAAGCTTAAGGTACCAACGCAGCAATTTAAACAGATGTAAACTTATCATGACAGATTAATGCCGTCTGGAGGCCTAAGCCGGGCCATTGATAACAGGTCGCTGGCAGATGACCCCGAGACTTAAGAAAGATTGAGCTGTCTAAAACTGGTGGGAGGATGGGGGGGCTGTGCGATGAGTGTGTATCCATTCAGTGTCTGGCAGGGATATTTCCTTAAGTGGGTTTTATCTTTACCAGCTCACTGATATGATTCATAAATGTTTTGTCCCCTCTTTGTTGAACAAGTCCCACGCAAAAACACACAGAAACACAGACACTCACATACTCACGAGCTAAATGTGTGGCTCCGTGGAGTCACAGCACCTCGTCCATCACTCAAACGTTGTCTGATTACGAGCTCTTAACCTTTGACCCCTTCACTGTTAGCAAACATATTGACAGCTCTCCTTTTTGGTTACTAAAAGCATCTTGCCTTCCCTTTGCTTTTACAGTCGTGCATTCGTGTTGGTTTTATGACACTGACAGTCAAGTGTGCAGTGCGGTGTTTGCTTTTCAAATGGTTCATGAAGTTGTTTTTCTGCAGCTCTTACAAAACGAGCACCTGGATCTTGCTACAAGAAAAGCCTGTGTGATTCATTATTTCTCCTTTTGAAAAGCAATGTCCCAATTTGCTGTCATTTCAGAAATAAGCATTTGGTAATACATTCCTCTGTAATCTTTTCCTTATTTTCTACATGACTTTCAAACTGCTATGTGATCAATCATTTTTGGTTCCTGCTTCTGCACAAGCGTCAGAATGTGCTTTAGATTTAAATTAAATAAAAGTAGTTGCCTGAGAGATCACCTCATACTGTGTGATTTCTTTTGTGAAAATCTCTGTTTCATGAGAACTGCTTGTGAATCCTTTGGCTTAAGACTTTCCCTCGTACTATAAAACTATGCAGAGTGATTTATGTTCTGTGATCCTTCTTTCATTCATCTTCATGCTTAACGTGAGATTTGAACATTCCCAGCTATTAACGATCTCAAAGGCTTGTTAGCTCTGCCATAAAGATGAAAAATGCTGCTAATAATGGATTAGATAAGATTATCCACACTCAGTGCACTTGTGGTGATGAGGAGTTAGCCTCTGTAATAATTGAGTTCAGTGTCTGGAGAAAGGGCCGGGGCTGGGTGGCCACTGTGACTTGTTTAATTGTCCCGATGTGAAACATGGCCGGCTCAGGAGGAAGCCGCTGTGTCTGTTTTCTCAGAACCGCAGAGCTCAATCAAGACCTAAGAGGAGAGGAGCTGGAAGATGCCGTTTGCCTTCTAAATCTCTCAAATAAAAAGCCAATGAACCACCCAATGTTCCTGATCTCATGGGACTGCTCTGTCTTTGCCTTGTGGTTAAAACGAGAATATCTAAGAAAATTGTCTTCCTCCAAAAAACCTTTTTTTACTTTTATCTTCTCTGCTGTGCCTCTTGGGGGAAAGGTGGTTGACGGTATGTAAATCAAGGAAATGCATGAAATAGACTGGACCAGAATAACAAAACTTAGACTTCAAGGAAATTCGTCATCTATCCTGCTATTGTAGATGCTTCTGTACAGGAAAAGTAATCTTTGCACACCTGTATTCGGACAGCTGTGAAAGAGAAGAAATGATGTCACAAAACAACAAACAACCCTTGTGACCAGTCAATAAAATATCCCAAAACACCCTAATAATACCTGGGATTCAGGTGTATTACTGTGGGTAACAGAAACACACAACAGCCTTGACAATAAACATGTAAAAATAACATCAGACATTTCGTACACTTAAAAGGGGAACATTTTCACTCCAGTACAATAAATACAATAAATATATTATGGCTGTACTTGAGCACACTCCTTGTGCTAAATGCTAACAAGCAGATATAATGTTTACCATTTTTGCCATCTAAGTTTAATGTGTCAGTATGCTAACATTAGCTAATTAGCACATTAACACAAAGTACAGCTGAGACTGAAGGGAGTATTGGACAAATTAAAATATTGACCTGATGATGTGCTATAGATTAAAAGTGAAGAAATCAAGTTATTGTAATATAATGTCTGAACAAAAAAAACACAAATGTCAGCCTCATGATGGCGCTGGAGGAAGAGTCAGTGGATCACCATAAGGGTTCATCCTCTGAGAACCATGAATGTCTGTACAGATTTCATAACAATCAATCCAATAGTTGTTGGGATATTTCAGTGATGGACCGACTGCCATTGCACAGCTAGAGCACGGCTAAAAACACACAGCCACAAAATATCTTCTCATAATGACAATAAACAGCTCAGTAATCTAGTGAACATCTATGATACATTATAAGAAAGACTTTAAAAACAAAAGAAAAGTCTCTCTGGGTAAAACAAAGCAGTTAGAAGGACGATTAGAAAACCCTAAATGACATTTTTATAAAACTACTGACACAAAATAAATGAGTCAACTAACCAGTCGAAAGTACAAAAGCTTAAATGTTAAAAGACTCATTTCTGGATTTGTGTTAATCCTAGCAATCGCAGCTTCTTTTATAACCCAATTAAGTATTTCAAAGACTTGATATTTGTGAGTGTGGTGACCTCTATATGCCTCTGTTTTCCTTTGCCCCCATCACACGTCCTTGACAACTGAGAAAAATGCGCTTTAACCCCTCAAAGCTGGTCGGTGACATTGAGTGGCCCGGGGCAAGACTGTGGCACCTCTGCTCCTTGAAGCTGGACAATTTGATTTGAAGGCGGAGATTTTCAAAGCTGAGTCATGGATCAGTGGTCAGCCAGTCGCTTGGCCTTTTCATCCTTTTTGTTTTTTGTTTTTTGAGGGTGAGTGGGGGTTGAGAAAGCGGCCAAACCTGACCAACACCAACAAACAAAGAAGTCACTGCTGGGAATAAACGTGAGTTTGGTCGCTCTGGGTAATGTTTGCTGTGAAATTGAATGTTTCATGATGGTTTTTACTCATGCTGAAAGAAACCATTTCACACAACATATGCTGTGGACATAACATCCCATTTACTTCACATGGTGCAGGAATGTCTTTACATTAAGAGTGGCAGGGCCGGGCTGATAAATTATGACATCTGAGCTCGTTGTGTCAGTCCACATATCTTCAATCTGCAGCGGAGGAATCTGATTAAGGCCTGAGGTAATGCTGATGGAGGTCAGCTTGTATGACTCAGCTCAGCTGTCACCTACACATAGGTATCCCCAAAATAGTATTTTCCCCTTCAGGTTCACTCAGACAAATAAACACTGTCTTCAGTGAGGACAAAAGTAATTTTTTAAAGTCTCTTCATGGCAGCTTGGACGTAATGAACCAAGCTGGTGTTTAGAAAGCAAATAAATAAGAGAGGACAGGGTTGAATCAAGGAAGAAAATAAGAACAGTAAAAATATACAAAGGAGAAAGAGCTATTGAGAAAGTATTTCCTTAACAAGAGGGAACAAATAATAAATTATGGGGCCCCTCTCCCTTGAGGCAGGACTGGCACGCCTGAGGGTAGCAGGAAGTGGGCATCCCTCTCTTTTTATAGGGGTCGTGAACAGGCTTCCACTGTGGGAGCATCATACGAGACAGAGCAAGAGTCCTGAGAGAAAACTCCTTAAAGGAATGTTTATACACACACACACACACACACACACACACACACACACACACACACACACACACACACACACACACAGAGTTTAAACGCTATGCTATGCTGAATGAAGAAGATGTTGGTAGTGTGACTGTATAACCCCCGGGTCCCTCATCATGTCATCACTGTAGTTTCTGCCCTCCTCATATCTGCAGTCCCACTTGGCCTGTATAACTGAGAGACTGCTGACAGCCGTGACCCCACGTTTACCCCGCACTCCCCCTCTTGCCTGTCCCAAAGCAGGTGGCAAACACCCCCCAGCACGAGACTGTTCATCTTGATCTGCCATCTATGTGAAATTTTGATACCTTTTTATTTATTGGCACTTCAGTACCTTGTCTTGTGATCAGGAGATAAAGCAAAGCAGCCTTTTTTAATTTCCTCAACGTCCACACAGAGGGTTAGTCACGGCCAAAGTTGATAAAAGTTTCCCTTTTGTCCCAAAGTGTTCAATTAATCAACTTCACAGGGTGTGCTGGATGGAAGCGGATAAAAGTCTGGGCTACAGGGAACACGAGAGAAAACAGCCAGGATTTGTATTCTGCTGCGGTGGCTTTCATTCCCATTAAAGGATGTTAGCATCTTTTTAAGCATAGTGACTTTATTGTCAGCTTAGGGCTTACACAGATCCAACCATTTGCTGTATTGGATTCTTGGCAGATGGCCTGCGTGGATCTTGGCCACCCTTGAATTCAGTTCTCATGTTAAGCTTCACCTTGTCAGTAAATGGGCTGCTCCCTGCACTTATCCTACACATAGGAACTTGTGTCTTGGTTGTAATGGTTTCTTATCAGTTAGGGAAAGAAATCATATCACATAGAGGTCCTCCCACCTACTGTAGCACTTAAAATGATTATTTTTCTGGAACTTCTCTCTTAATAGATGGCATGCTGTGATATACAGTGAGTGCATATAAATACACTATAAGAATGAATTCAATTGAATTATATTGTACATAGTGACCTCTCTTACAGAGTATAAGAGAGTGAAGAACATATAAGTACATCTGCAGACCACCAGAAGGGCCTTCAATCTGACATAATGTACTACAATGTACAATATATGACCAAATATTCATCTTATTTATGATTATTAAACCAGCATTACATTTGTTCATTTGGGCCACTCAACAACCTGTAACTTCAAGACAAAAGTGTAAACACAACGGCCACTTTGTTCACCAGCTAGCTGCTAACTTTATCTGCCGTTTGGTGCTGAGCAGGAAGAGTGCAATGGGTTTGTCAGAGCTTTTTAGTTGAAAACTGCAGCTTACCTTAACCAAAACAATGAGCTGAAAGTCTCTAAAACGTTCCATATAGTCGAGGTGAACTGTAAGGTTAGGAGATCATTTTCAGTGGGTTTGTCACTACGAGCAACACCTTTTGCATTACACATAGTCATTTGATTCATTGTTTATATAAAGATATTGATTAGTCCAGCTTTAAATCAATAAGAAGGTCATGTGTTGTTTTTTTTTGTGTCAGTGGAAGCATTTATTCCTGTTACCAACCACTGACGTATTGAGCCCATAACCAATTCCTCTTCCTGTGCCTCTGAGGACCTGGAGCCAGAGCACCAGTAGTCCAAACTATCATAATTTGGGTTGGGAGTAAGAAATCACATGTGTCACAGTTTATGTCGGCAGTCGTACCCTGGAGCAATAGCTCGTTTAGAATTTGGAACAAACTACGAAATCATTTTCTTTGCGCACCAGTCATTCATCTTTTTCCCAGACACACAGACATCTCAGGCCTGCTTCCTCTCAAACTGACAGGACTGGCAGGTAAGCAACATTTTCCATTCTTGGATAACATGTAGGTTTTTTAAATTTGTATTTTAACATACATTAAAATGTAATCTGCTTGTACGTTGACATGATTTCCACATCCTGAACTGGAATCTGTGTCTTGTTAGACAAAAACCTCTCAGTGTCGTGTAAAGGACAACATATGGAGCAAACTGAGATTAAATTGTGGTGTTAAGTACGTTATCCACTAATTAAATCTTGGAATTTTCTACTACATGGTTTACAATGGGTAGGACAGCTCAAACGGTCCTAATCTTTGTTGAACTCCAACTCTCAAGTAGGCTCTTTGTTCAGCTTGCCTCCTGAAACCTTTCTTCATAAGTGTCCATTAAATGGATGGTTGAGTGTTCAACCACCAGTGATCCTCAGTAGAGCTACTA